GCTGTTCATGTTTATTTAGGATATTGTGAAATACAGTGAAATTTGCAATTTTATTGGATTTGGGGGGACGGTGTTTTGGAGAAGTCTTAAGCTGCATGGTAGGACACGCACATCTCTCTGGAGCATAGAAGCACCAGCTTTGGTAGCTAGCCCCCTTTACCCCCCTTCCCAAATCCAAACTCCTAGTTCCATTCCCCTCCTGAAATGAGACAGGATTGGCCCCAGGAGTATGGGTGGAATAAGACAGAAATCTCAGCTGGGCCTCTTAATTTGGAGTTTAGTGGCATGTGGCTGGCACAGAGAGAGGCCATCTCTTGCGGGGGGGGGGGGGGCGGAATTCTTGTCAATTACACAAGGGCTGGAAGCCAAGGTTGGGCGGCTTTAAGTACTGGTGACTCTGGCCCAGCTTGTGGGGTACTGGGAGGGAGTGGGGAGAAATGAGAAGAATATGAGATAAAGAGCTGTTCGCTTTGTATCCAAGAAACTGGTTCATGGAAAGGGCTTTAGATGGCATGAGTCTCACCTTCCTCCCCCAAGGAAGGGTCCAACTCTCCAGTTTTTCTTTCCCCAAGTGGTCATCTAGCCTGTGCCTCTGTGTCCCCAGTGTTGAGAGCTCATTAGCCCATTTCCTTGTCAGATATTGCCCAACAGAGAACTTTTCCTTAGAAACAGCTTCCAAGCTTTGTAGTTAGGTTGGGATGTGGGGAGGGGGGAAGCAAGGATCAGGACACATGATGCTCACATTTGTGTTCAATAAAGGACAGATAGACAGAAAGATGCTTGCATGCGCGGTGTATTTCTGAGAAAACACATAACAATTGGTAACAGTGGTTGTTTGTGCAGAAGGAAGCTGGATGACTACGAGCCAGAGGAGACTGGGCAGCCGGAGAGAGAGAGACCTACTTTTCACGGTACACCTTTTGACCAATTTGAAGTTTTCATCATGTGCACTTAATATTTTTTCCTCAAGAAAAAATCCGATTTTCGTTTTTAAAAAGAAAGTATTTTCTACTCCAAGAACAAGCTGAGATAAAGAGAAAATAGTACGGTGTGAAAAAAGCCCTAGGATGAGCTTTAGGGGAGTAGAGGAAAGAAAGGCCACAAGGAAAGGAAGCTGCAACATCCAACTGTGCACCGTACAGGCTTGTGGGCGGGCGCACGTGGAGAAATCCCATTGATCGCCATATCGAACCAAACGCTGGCTGTCTCTTTGGAGTTTCCACCACTTTCCCACTGTCCTAGTTCTACCAACTGGGTCATGTGGAGGAAGTCCTCTCCCTCTGCCCCATGGCAGCCCTTCAGGTGTTTGAAGATAGAATTAAATTCCCCTAGAACTGTGGCTGGCACCTATAAATATCTGAGCCAGCCCTCTTCACACCCAGGTTTCTCTCCGCCGTCACATCTTGCCACTCCTTTTCTCCAGGACATGGCTTCTCCTGCCCTGATGAGGCCTGCCCCTGAGATCCAATGCTCTGCTTAGGCTGGGAGCTCAGGGCATGGCTGAGATGCCTCCAGGTTGGGGCCATCTCTGCAGTGGTCTCACACTCTCCGACTTGGACAGAGGCCCCACCTTCTTCAGCAACAACTGTGGACACCTGGAGCTTGACAGCCTCAGCGGCCATCCAATTCCCACATTAAAAAGGGTAGGCCAGGCACGGTGGCTCACGCCTGTAATCCCAGCACTTTGGGAGGTAGAGGCGGGTGGATCACCTGAGGCAGGCAGATCACCTGAGGTCAGGAGTTCAAGACTACCCTGGCAAACATGGTGCAACCCCATTTATACTAAAAATACATAAAAAGTAGCCAAGCATGGTGATCTGCACCTGTAGTTCCAGCTACTTGGGAGGCTAAGGCAGGAGAATTGCTTGAACCCAGAAGCCAGAGGTTGCAGGGAGCCGAGATCGTGCCACTACACTCTAGCCTGAGTGACACAGTGAGACTCCATCTCAAAAAAAAGAAAGAAAGAAAATGAGTAAACTGAGGCCCGAGACAGGGCAGGGACTGGCCTGAAGTTACGGAAATGAGATCGTACTGTGTCTACTCCTCCTTCCTCTTGTAAGCCCTCGGAAGCTCCCAGCAAGATGGAACCTTGGGCGGGCCCCTGGGAGAAGTGGGAGCAACACTAGCCAGCCTGGTGTGGGACGTGGCTCTGCTTCCAGGAGAGAGCAACAGACCCAAAGGTGGGCAAGCCAGACAGGATGTGAGGTTCACTTGGGCTCACAGGAAAGACAGAGGTGAGGCAGGCCCAGCATGCATGCGGTGCCAGTGGGAAGGTGGCTATGCTGGTGCTTGTGTGTACCGGTGTGTGTTTGTGTTGTATGTGCACACGAGTCTGCGCAGTGTGAGATGTGTGCCTATGTGAGTGCAGGGACTGTGTGCATGTGTGTGCACATGTGAGTACTGGAAAATATGCACACTGACAATGAGCAGGGTGAGTGTGTGTACCTGTATGCTTTCTGCCTCTGCTGCAGCCCTCAGCACACTGACTTGTCTGCATTTGTCCCTAAAGCTGCCTTTTCCCCTGAGCTATAAGCTAAGATTGTCTTTTTTCAAAAAAATCTTGGTAGTCCCAATGCCAAGTACAGCCCATGGCATACAGTAGGTACTCAGTCAGTGTTTGCTGGACTGACCTGGACTGAATTGAATTGAACCGAACTGAACTGAATTTCCCCAATGTGTCTCTGTGCATAGAAGTCTGTACCAGGGAGAGGGACTGAATCTGTGCCACGTGGGCAAATGCTCATGGAGTGTCTGTGCATGCGTGTCTGCGGCGAGTCTTCACATTTACATGTAGGTCTGTGTGCATGCTGTGAACGTGCCCGAGCACAAGCGAATTCAAACCACATAGAGGGAATGTGCATACGTGTGTGTGTGTGTGCGCGCGCGTGCGCACACACGGGCGCACGTGCCTGCTCCCACAGCCTCCTCATACATGCAGGTGGCCCACTGGCGCCCCAGCTTCAGCTCAGCCAGGCTTCCTCCCTGTAAACCTGGAGCAGCTAAAATTAGTATGAAAATGGTGGTGTTCGGTTAAAAGGAAGGGGGGTGGGAAGAGATGAGGGTGCCCATGAGTGCTATTTTATTTCTCAGTGAGAGGATAAAGTGATTTTTCCTACATAATTTTTGATGTAGAGGCTAAATTAGGCCGGAGAAGAGGGACAAAGCAACTTTCGCCCTCATTAGTATTCTGGCCGCGTTGGCCCAGCCACGGCAGTTATGTATTTTTGCAAGTATGCATATAATTTATTGTGGAGAACACAATTTACATGGTAGTCGATGCCTGTTTTATAGCCTCACAAATAGATGTATGAACTCAAGCATATAATGGCCCAACCAGCAGGCGCAAATACGTTCTAAATCTTCTAAATGTGCTTCACAAAAATGTAACTGAGGAATATAAAACAGATCAATTCTTGCATGTTATATATTGGTTTTTGATTTACAAATCTAATCTGGGACATTTCTTCAGAAATGAAGGGATTTTTCCCCCACCCCTTCCCCTCCTCTTCTTCCACCAACTTCTCCATGCACAGACCTTGCCTGCGGTCAGGTGCCGTCAGGCATTGCCACTTCTGGGATGTACACAGGTGCCCGTGTATGTGCTCATGTTGAAGGGGGCACGCTCTTGCCTGTCTGTGTGTGCACGTGTATTCATGTCAGGGATCTACAGACCTCAGGTAGAAGGGAGAGAGTGGTTTAGCTCCATCTGTGTGACCTCCCCCATTTGAGGCTGAAAATTTGGGGAGGAGGGCTGATGAGAGGACCCCATGGGGGTGTGGGCGTCTCTCAGTTGTGTTCCCTCTGGGCTCCTGCTTAAACGGCCTGTTGACCCAGACTGGCTTCATGACTTACTGGAGCAGAAAAAGAAATGAGGGTCCTAGGGATGAAATTAAACTAACATGTGTTGAGTTGCATTTTAAATGTGCATTTTATTGAAAGTATTTTAATCAACCTAGCTTTAGGTACATGGCTTTTTTAAAAGCCCATTCCATTAATAGCTGAGCAGACACATAAATGATGGTGTACTCATAAAATGGAATATGATACAGCAAAGAAAATGAACCAGTTGCTTCCTACAACAACATGGGGAATCTCACAAACAATGTAAAATGCAAGAAGCCAGACCCCAAAGAGGACTTGCTACATGATTGGATTTATCAAGTCCAGAGCATGAACGGAACCCAACTACTGTGTGTAGAGACAGCAAAACTATCAAGGGAAGCAAGAGTATTTGCCGTCAAAGTCAGAATGGTGGTTTTCTTTGGGGAGGATTGGATAGAGTACAGGAGGGGCTTCTGGGGAGATGGTAATGTTCTTCTTGACCAAATGGTGGTTTCATGGATATTCACTTGGTGATAAATTACTGAGCAGTACTTCAAAAAAATTCACTTTTCTGTGTTATATTTTACAATCAAAGCATTTACAAAAATAGTCCTTAAGGATTTACAATAAAAAGCAGGCGTACCAGCTCCAGCCTCCCCAGCCCTGTTTCTCTGAAGGCAACTACTGGTAACCACTTTCAGACGCTGTCTCCAATCTCTAGAAATGTTGTGGAGCTTCTTTCAAATCTCTCTATCAGTGAAATTGTATAACCCTTTCTATTTCTGTAAGGTCAGCAGTAAGGTCTCCACTTCTATTCCTGATTTTAGTGATTTCAGTTTTCTCTTGTTTTTTTGTTTGTTTGTCAATTCTGTCCATCATTTCAGACAACCAACTTTTGGTTTTGCTGATTTTTCTCTATAGTTTTTCTACTCTCTGTTTCATTTATCTCTGCTCTAATTTTTTTATTTGCTTGCTTTGGATTTAGTTTGTTCTTGTTTTTTTAGTAAAGTGGAAGGTTAGGTTATTGATTTGAGATCTTCTATTTTAATGCAGGTGTTTACAAATATAAATTTCCCTCTCAGCACTGCTTTTATTGCATCCCGTAAGTTTTAGTATGCTGTTTTTGTTTTCACTCATCTCAAAGTATTTTCTAATTTCTCTTGTGATTTATTTTTTGACCCTTTGGTTAGGTAGGGGTGCATTGTTTAATTTTTACATATTTGTGAATTTTCCAAACTTCCTTCCATTTTCTAATTTCATTCCTCTGTTCTCAGAAAACATATTTTATGTAATTTTAATCATTCTAAATTTATTGAGGCTTGATTTGTGGCCTAAGATATGATCTATACTAGAGAATGTTCTATGTGCGCTTGAGAAGAATGTGTGTTCCGCTGTTGTTGGGTGGAGTGTGCTCTTAGATTGCAGTTAGAAAGCAGTGTCTGTTAGGTCTGGCTGGTTTACAGGGTTTGTAATGTCTTCTATTTCCTTACTGATCTCCTATCTAGTGTTCTATCCATTACATCGATGAAATTCTTATCTCATCTATGTAATGCTTATAATGCACAAGTCACAGCCCTAATTTCAGGAGGTTCAAAGTCCAGTGGGGGTGGGGAGCTTCACTTCTACCCAGCTGGGCCACCCCATCCCTGATCTCCAATGTGGAGGGTCACCCTCATCCCACACTGTCCTGCAGCCTGGGGTCTTTGGCTGCTGTGAAACTCCCCATCAGCCTCAAGTGTCCCCCTCTCTTCCATTCCCAGGGTTACCAACTCTGCTGCAAACCAAGCAGAACTGGAAGACGTCTCAAAGACCATGCAGAGGTCAATGTCCTTGTGGTACAGATAGGGAAACTGAGGCCCAGAGAGGGGCAAGATCTTGTTCCAGTTCTCCTGAAGCCAGGCCCAGTGATGTCCTATCAATCATCTACTCAGCCCACAGCACCATGATCCAGTGGCTACAGAAAAAAAGGGACCAGTTCATGTCACCCTCTGTGTCATTTCTATTTGTAGCACAAGGTGGTGGCAGCCAAGGGCAGTATTAGAGGGGGTGAGGGGCCTCTAATACTGGTTGAATACACATCCCAGAGCACTTAGAAGACCTATGCTTCCATCCCAGCTTGACCACTCTGAGCTGTGTGAGCTTGAGGAAGTCACTCTCCTGCTCTGAATTTCAGTTTCCTTATACGCAAAATAGAAAACATCATAAGCACCATTACCATTCATTGGGGCCCTACCATGTACCCAGTACTGCACTCATACAATTTCATTCACTCCTCCCAACAGCCTTGGGAAAGGTCAGTACCTTTAGCACAGGAGGAAAGGGAGGCCCCATAAAGCAAAACAACCCATCCAAAGCCACAGGCATTCAACCATCACCCTCTCAAGGCTCCAAAGCTAAAGAACAGAAGCTACCCCTCACATGGCCCTCCATCCACTCCTGCAGTGTGGGTTTCCGTATTTACCAGAGGGAGGGGAGGGGCACAGTTAAAGAGGGACTGAGGGTCAGCTGATACTCACCACGGGATTACTGTTAATTTCCTCAGGTGTGATCCTGGCATAGTCAGTCAGTGAGAGGTTCTTACCGAAGTCACTCCAGATGAAATCACCTGATAGCTGGGATTTGCTTTCAACTACCCTGGCCAAAAAAAAAGAAAAAGAAAAAAATGGGACAGATGAAACGAGATGGACAAAGCTAATAATTGTTGCAACTGAGTGGTGGGTACTTGGGGTTCATTAAATGCTCTCTCCAGCTTTTAATGTTTGAAAATTTTCACAAGAAAATATTAACGAAAACCCTCAGGTTTCCTGACTCCAGGTGGACCCCACCACAGGAGAGCTGCTGGTTTTCACATAAACTTGCCCCTGCTCAGGGACCCACCCGAACCTCTCAGCGGCCCCGATGCCAGTGGGGGTCTGGTCTCTGGGTGGGGTTGGCTGTACGGTCTGGAATGCCAGTGTGGCTGTGTAAGCACATGGGTTTCCCTGCCTGCCCTGATCACCTGACAGCAAGGGGACCCACCATTCCCCAATGTCGGAATCATCAAGACAGCCATTTTCTCTCTTGACCCAGGACAGTCCTCTGAGGGAAAACGGAAGGACAGAGGCCTTTGCTTTCAATAATAGGGAGGCATGGATGGGATGGCCCGTCAGCTCCCTTCCCAGACAAACATGCCCCAGCTGGGGTCTACTCCTGCCAGGAAGTAGGGGCTTGGGCTGGACTTCTAGGCCTGTATTCACAGCTAGCATCCCCATGGCAACAAGCCAGTTAGAGGGGCCTCAGCCCGGCCCCCTGGGGCCACTTATCTGCAGCCACCTCAGGAGGGCGGCATTAATAGGCTGGTGCCCACTCCCAGCTCCCAGGCCTCCCCGTGACTCCCATCCACACCCCACAGACACTGTCCCTGGGATAAGGAGCCCAGGAGACAGAGGTTCCCATCCCTGGCCACACACCACAGACTCACACACACACCACAGACCTCCTGAGGCTCCTATCCTTGGCCATACATCACAGACTTACACACACACCACAGACCACACACACACACACACACACGAACACACACACTCATGCACACACACCACACACATTCTCTCAAACTCCCTCTTCCTCTCACACATACACATACAGACCCACACTCTGTCTCACATACACACACACACACAACACATACACACGCAGATGTATACCTTTCTCTCTCACAGGCACACACACACATACACACTCTCCCCCCTCCCTCTATCACATACACACCTGCAAGCAGTCTCTCACACTCTCTCTCACACACATTCTCCACACACTCTTCCTCTCTCTCTCACACACACACACACACACTCTCCCTAACACACACCCCAGCTCTCTCACACACATACACACCAGACTCACACATGTACACACATACACACTCGTGCACACACACACCACACATTGTCTCTCATACTCGCCAACACACAGACACACTCACATACCCACACACATACAGAAATATACCTCTCTCTCACAGGCACACACATGCACACTCTCCCCATCTCTCTCACATACACACCTGCAAGCACACACTCTCACACATTTGCACACACTTCCTCTCTCACACACATACTCTCACATACATACACAGTAGCACACATTCTCTTACACACACACACATCCTGCTCTCAGTTCAGTGGAAGGAGGCAAACATTAACCCCCTCCCCATATGCTTGCTCCCACCCACACACTCACAGTCACACCGCAGTGCTCCAGTCTGGGAAGCACCTGGCTCTGGTGTCAGATGCCAGACTCCCAAGTGTGGGCAGCGTGGCACTACCATGCAGCAGTAGGTAGGCTACGGAACCTCTCTGCCTCAGTTTCCTCATCTCTTCCTTGAAAATAATTAAACCAACCACCTGTGTCAAGTGTAAAGATTAAATTTCATCATGAGAACACAGTAGGTGCTCAGTAAATACTTCCTCCTTCCTCCCAGTAAACGTGGGAAGATTCTGCTGTGTTTAGAAGACTGCTGGGCTCTGGCTTAGTGAGGCCTGGGAGTCGCGCGGCTCGGCAGGTGTGCAGGCTCTGCCGTGGACCAGCGGCCTGATGTGAGCCGTCGAGTGCTTTCTTGGAGCCTCAGTCCCCTCCTCTCTGGGGCCATAGGACTAATGAGTTAAGAAGGCAGTTAGTACGGTGCTTGGTATGTCCTCGATGTTGGTAGTGTTGTAGGAATAAGAATAATAACAGAACCATGATGCTGAGGATGGCAAAAACTGCCTGTAGAAAGAGCTTACTGTGTCCCCCGCTCTCCACTGACTCATGAGCCGAGCTGGTCCTCAAATGTCTATGTGGGAGCTAGAACATCCCGATTTCACAGATGGGAAATGAAGGTCTGGAGACATTAAGAAACTTATTCAGGCCACAGAGCTAGAAAGTGGTGGTGTGTGGATTGGAGCCCAGGCAGCCGGCTCTGCACCGATCTCAGGGCCACAGTGCAGTGCCCGGGAAGTGGTGCTGCTGTCATTATTAATTAGAGAGAGCGGATGGATCACAGACCTGCTCAGCTGAGAGCCAGAGCCCTCGCTTAGGAGAAGACAGGCACGAGGGCCTAAGTGGGGCAGCCCCTCACAGAGGTCACCCCGGCGGTCAGCAGAGCTCTGGGCACCACCTGGTCACGTGCCTGACATCACAGCCCCAATCTCATGTTCCTAGAGTGCCCCCCCGCCGCCACATTGGGTTGCTGAGAGTTCAGCATCTGCAGCTGACTGGGAAGGCAAGGGGAGGGCAGAGCCCAAGTCGGGCTCTCAGTGACAGAGACCCCTGAATCCTCCCACAAATCCACCCACATTGTCTTTCTTTTAGCCCTTCCTGCTCCCTCCCGCCTTTTCTCCCCTCTGTCCTTTCCCCTTAAATAAGTGTGAATGTTTCAGTTCCTTGTAAGTGATGTCTCACCCTCACCAAGACTGTGCCCCTGCTCTGCCCCATTCTCCAAGCTGGATGACACACAGGGGTACCTCTGCCGCTTCTATAGAATCCCTGGCCCAAGGAAGACAACCCCCGCAACCTCTTCATTTCCTGCTCTGTGGAATTGGGGTATTGAGTCCTAATTCACAAGGCTGTTGTAAGGACTAATGGAGAGAGCTTAGAAAAGCCCAAAGCAAGGCCGGGAGCAGTGGCTCATGCCTGTAATCCCAGCACCGTGGGAGGCCGAGGTAGGAGGATTGCTTAAGCCCCACAGGAATTGGGCAACATGGTGAAACTCCATCTCTACAAAAACTACAAAAGTCAGCCAGGCATGGTGGTGCATGCCTGTAGTCCCAGCTACTTGGGAGGCTGAGGTGGGAGTCAGAGGTTGCAGTGAGCTGCACTCCAGCCTGGGCGACAGACGGAGACCCTGTTTAAAAAAAAAAAAAAAAAAAAAAAAAAGCCCAGAGCAAAATACCTATATGTGATGGGCACTCACAAAATGCCACTTTTGGAGTTTTTTCTGAGATGGGGTCTTGCTCTGTTGCCCAATCTGGGGTGTAGTAGCAAGAACACAGCTCACTGCAGCCTCCACCTCCTGGGCTCAAGTGATCCTCCCACTTCAGCCTCCCAAGTAACTGTGACTACAGGTGCTCCACCACTCAGCTAGCTTTTTATTTTTTGTAGAGACAGGGTCTCCCTATGTTGCTTAGGCTGCTCTTGAACTCCTGGACTCAAACCATCCTCTTGCCTCAGCCTCCCAAAATGCTGAAATTACAGGCATAAGTCACTGTGCCTGGCACAATACTGTTAATTACAGCCCTCCTGCTGTGCAACAGAACACTTCCTATCTAACTATAACTTTGTGTCTGTTGACTAACTTATCCCCATCCCACACCCTCCCCCCCCACCCCAGCTCCCTGCTTCTGGTAACCACTTTTCTTTTTTTTTTTTGAGACGGAGTTTCGCTCGTTACCCAGGCTGGAGAGCAATGGCGCGATCTCGGCTCACCGCAACCTCCGCCTCCTGGGTTCAGGCAATTCTCCTGCCTCAGCCTCCTGAGTAGCTGGGACTACAGGCACGCGCCACCATGCCCAGCTAATTTTTTGTAGTTTTAGTAGAGACGGGGTTTCACTATGTTGACCAGGATGGTCTCGATCTCTTGACCTCGTGATCCCCCCGCCTCGGCCTCCCAAAGTGCTGGGATTACAGGCGTGAGCCACCGCGCCCGGCCTGGTAACCACTTTTCTACTCTCTATTCGTGAGAACAATTTTCTTAGATTCTTCATATGAATAATATCATGTCGTATTTGATTTTCTGTGTCTGGCTTATTTCACATAACATAATGTCCTCCAAGTCCATCCATGTTGCCACAAATGACAGGATTTCATTATTTGTATGGCTTAATAGTATCCCATTGTTTCTATGTATCACATTTTCTTTTCTACTCATCCACTGATGGACACTTAGGTTGATTCCACATCTTGATTATTGTGAAAGGCTCTGTAATACACATAGGACTGCAGATATCTCTTTGACATACTGATTTCATTGCCTTTGGAGATATACCCAGTAGCGGGATTACTGGATCATAGTAGTTCCTCCCTCCCTCCCTCCTTTCCTTCTCCTCCTCCACTACTGCCACTACTACTTCTTCCCCTCCTCTTCCTCTTCTTCTTTCCTTCCTCCTCCTACGCTCCTCCTCCTTCCCTCCCCTTCTCCTTCTTCCTTTTTCTTTCTTTCCTTTTCTCTTTCTCTTTTCTTTCTCTTTTTTCTTTTCTCTCTCTTTTGAGATAGGGTCTCTGCTGTCCAGGCTAGAGTGCAGTGGTGTAATCATAGCTCACCAAACCTTGCACTCCTGGGCTCAAGCAATCCTCCCATTGCAGCCTCTAAAAGTGCTGGGATTACAAGCTATTTTTAATTTTTTGAGGAACCTCCATAGTGCTTCCCATGGTGGTAATACTAATTTACATTCCCACCAACAGTGTATAAGAGTTCCCCTTTCGCCACATCCACACCAGCATTTGTTATTTTTTGTCTTTTTGATAACAGCCATTCTAACTGGGGTAAGTTGATATCTCATTGTAGTTTTTATCTGCATCTCCTGATGATTAGTGGTATTAGGGCTGAATGAAGTGGCTCACGTCTATAATCCCAGCACTTTGGGAGGCCAAAGTAGGCAGGTTACTTGAGCTCAAGAGTTCAAAACCAGCTTGGGCAATATGATGAAACCCTGTCTCTACAAAACTGCAAAAATTAATTAGGCATGGTGGCACACATCTATGATCTTAGCTACTCAGGAGCCTGGGAGGGAGGCGGAGGTCACAGTGAGCCCAGATCGTACCACTGTACCCCAGCCTGGGTGACAGAGCCAGATCCTGTCTCAAAAGAAAAAAAAAAATGTGATGTTAAAAATTTTTTCATATACTTGTTGGCCATTTGCATGTCTTCTTTTGAGAAATGTTTATTCAGGTCTGTGGCTTGATTTTTAATCAAATAATTTGGTTTTTTTGTTTTTTTTTTGAGAGGGGATCCCAAGCTGGAGTGCCGTGACATGACCATGGCTCACTGCATCCTCAACCTCCTGGGCTCAAGCAATCCTCCCTCCTCAGCCTCCTGAGTAGCTTTCTGCTACTGAGTTGATTGAGTGTCTTACCTCTTCTGGACAGTAACCCCTTATCGGATGCATAGGTTGAAAATACTTTCTCCCGTTCTGTACCTCACTCTGCTGGTTCTTTTCTTTGCTGTGCAGAAGCTTTTCGGTTCGAGGTAATCCCACTTTCTTCTCCTGCTTTTGCTGCCTTTGCTTATGAGATCTTATTCAAAAGACCCCTTCCTAGACCAATGTCATAAGGCATTTCCCCCATGTTTTCATCTAGTAGTTGTTTTTTTTTTTTTTTTTTTTTTTTTTTTTTTTTTTTTTTTTTTTTTTTTTTTTTTTTTTTTTTTGACGGAGTTTCACTCTTGTTGCCCAGGCTGGAGTGCAATGGTGCGATCTTGGCTCACCACAACCTCTGTCTCCCAGGTTCAAGCAATTCTTCTGCCTCAGCCTCCAGAGTAGCTGGTATTACAGGGATGCGCCACCACACCTGACTAATTTTGTATTTTTAGTAGATATGGGGTTTTTCCATGTTGGTCAGACTGGTCTCAAACTCCCAACCTCAGGTGATCCACCCACCTCAGCCTCCCAAAGTGCTGGGATTATAGGGGTGAGCCACCGTGCCCAGTCCTCTAGTAGTTTCATAGTTTGGGGTCACATGGACTCTTAAAGCTAGAAAGGACCTTAGAAATCAACTTACCCAACTCTTCACTATCCAGATGGAGAAACTGAGGCACAGGGAGGGGTGTGCTGGAAGTTACCAGCATTCAGGTGGCAGTGTTGCTGGTGAGATCTCCCAGCACAGTCCTTGAATTGAGGGGAAGGATGGGTAATGTCCTCTCACTGTTCTAAGAAGCTACCAAAAACTCATGCTTGGGACAGGTGAACCAAGATATTGAGAAAGGGGCTGCATTAGCTTCCCAGGGCTGCTGCCACAAACTGCCACAAGCTTGGTGGCTTCAAGCAACAGAAATGTATTCTCTCAGTTTCAGAGTTCAGAAGTCTGAAATCAAGGTGTTGGCAGGGCTGGCTCCTTCTGAAGGCTCTGAAGGAGAATCTATTCCATGTCTTTCTCCCACCTTCTGAACTGCCAGCAAGCGTGGTGTTCCCGGGCTCGTAGCCCAATCTCCTCTGTCTTCACGTGGCCTTTTCCTCTGTTTCTCTGTGTCTCAAATCTCCCTCCTCTGTCTCTCATAAGGAAACCAGCCATTGGATTTAGACCCATCCTGAATTCAGGATGATCTCATCTCAAGATCCTTAATTACATCTGCAAAGACTCTATTTTAAATAGGGTCATGTCACGGGCACTGGGGTTTCGGTTTTGGCCATATCTTTTGAGGAACACAGTTGAACCTGCTCCGAGAGCTCCCACGGTCACCACGGAGAAGGAGAAACCAGCAGCAGCCCCAGAGGTGACCCTCTCAGCGATGGCCTATCCTCCCAGGCTAGGGCTTGCCCTCCTTCCTCATTCCCACCCTGCAGATGAGTAAACTCAGGCCTGCTGCTGGCCCCTGCCACTGGCACCAAGGCCAGATGTGTATTGGAGCACCAAGTCTTAGAGGGACATTTTTTCACGTCTTCCCACTTGCCGGGCACTGTGTTGGATGCTGGAGAGGAGGAGTTCCTCTTTCCAAGGCTCTCACAGAGGAGCCAAACCCAAACTCCCATGTGGAGGCCTGAGACTGTGGGGAAGAGGCCAACACAAAGCTGAGGGGCAGAGTGCCTGGGGCTGCTGAGGGGACAAGGAGGAGACCAGGGAGGGTCAGGAAGTGAAGAGAAGGATTTTGAAGGACAGAAGTGGGGAGGAGATTCCTGAAAGCCAGGGCCCTAAAAGCCCTTGGTTCAGAGAACCAAGCAGCTTGTGTGATGGTGGGGGTGGGTGCTTAGAGGACCCTCCGCTGGAGCACCCAGGCTGGCCCCAGGAGATTCTTACCACAACCAGTGTCATGGGCTGCATCCTTGGCTGACCCCCCTGCCAGGCACTGAGCTCCTGAAAACAGAGGCTAGGCCTTCCATCACAGCATCTCCAGTCTCACCTCTGACACAAAGCCCCATATTACCATCAGTGACTGACTTCGCAGCGTCTTTCTTTTCATGCTTGCATTTGTGTGTGTGTGTGTGTGTGTGTGTGTGTGTGTATGTGTGTGTGTGTGTGTTGGTTGTTGTTGTTTTTGATATGGTTTTTCCCAGGTTGGAGTGCAGGGGCACAATCATGACTTACTGCAGCCTCGACCTCGCAGGCTCAGGCCATCCTCCCGCTTCAGCCTCCCAAATAGCTGGGACTACAGGCATATGCCACCCACCCAGCTAATTTTTTATTTTTTGTAGAGATGGGGTCTCCCTATGTTGCCCAGGCTGGTCTTGAACTCTTAGGCTAAGCGATCTTCCTACTTTGACATTTGGCTTCCCAATGTGCTGGGATTACCAGCATGAGCCACCTTGCTCTTGGTTTTTTTATGTACCACCATTGCTAGACACACACACACACCTCTCAAGGATTGGAGGCAGCTTGCAGAAAACGCACAACAGGGTAAAATACAATCTAAATAAGTGGAGGTGAAACTGGGACCAAGGGAAAATGTGGGTGGAGATACCAGTATCAGCATCACACATTAAGTGCCTGCTGTGCACAGGATGCAAATTGGTGCTTCCAATTTCTCTGGGAAGGAATGGAGCCCAGCAAGGGAGGAGACTGGTCACCTCAGGCTCCAAGAGCTTTACATTTGGAAAAGCTCCTGGAAGTGCCTGAATTTAGTCTTCTACACAAAGTGAAATGCTCTCTCCTTCATTACTTCACTGCTCATTTGTTAATTTATACAACAAATCCTTACAGAGCACCTACTGTGTGCCCGCTGATAAGCACTGGTCAGAGCCAATCTTCACTCGTAAAATGCTCTCCATGGGTGGTCTCTCTGGTGCCACTGGCTCTGTTGCTAAGACACTGCAGGGAAGATGGACACAGGTGCAGAGATGGGGCCCAGCCTGCCAGGGCCTCTTAATAAGAGACACAGTGGAGCCCAGGCCCACCTAGGTTTTCTGGAATGGGAAAGACATCAGTGCTGGGCATTCTCCCACACTGCATTTCACTGAATGTGTCATAATGCAACATGATTTGGGGCTGGAAGCTCAGCTTCTCTGTGCCTCTAAAACTTCATTAGCAAAGTGGAAATAATTAAAAATTAAAGGACCTAATGTACCAATGTTGGTCTCTTAGTTTTGACAAAAATATTATGCTGACATAAGATGTTAACAGTAGGGGAAGCTGGGTGGGGGCTTATGGGAAGTCTCTGTACTATCTCTATAACTTTTCCATGTACAGGTATTGATCGACTTACAACCTATGCAACTTACGACCATTCGACTTTACGACCACAATCGCTAGCCACGACTGCTCCACATCTGGCAGCGCAAACGTTGCCCAGCTGGGCGTACGACAGTGCGGACCAGCTTCCGGCAGCACTACCATCTCCATGTGCATATAGCCTACTCAACTTATGACCAAATTGTGTTACGACCGGTCTGTCAGAACCAATCATGGTCGTAAGTCGAGCACTAGCTGTATCTGAAATTATTCTAAAATGAAAAGTTTATTTAAACAATTAAAGGACCTATCTCATGCACTGGTTGTGAGGAAGACTTACTCAACACACTGTTGTTTTGTTTTGTTTTGAGATGGAGTCTCATTCTGGTTGCCCAGGCTGGAGTGCAGTGGCACAATCTTGGCTTACTACAAACTCTGCCTCCCAGGTTCAAGTGATTCTCCTACCTCAGCCTTCTGAGTAGCTGGGATTACAGGTGCGCACTACCATACCCGGCTAATTTCTATATTTTTAGTATGTATTTAGTTTCACTATGTTGGCTAAGCTGCTCTTAAACTCCTGACCTCAAGTGATCTACCCACCTTAGCCTCTTAAAGTGCTGGGATTATAGGTGTGAACCATCAAGCCCCACTGGCACACTGTTAAGCGCTGTGCTTAACTTACTGGATTCTCACAAAGTATCGTGATTGAGATTTCTAATTCTCATTTTTCAGACTAGCCTCAGAGAAGTTCTGTGACTTTCCAGAGGTCATACAGACAGCATCAGGCAACATCTGGATTCAAACTCACACCTGACATGCTCTGAAGGCCACAATTCTTCTACCATACTATGCCCCCTCTAGCATCTTAGTGCTTTTAGTGACAAGGACATGACCACTTTGCTTGGAACAGTTCTGTGAGGTGGGAACTAATCATTATAGTTAGAAATGATCAAATGTGCCTTCCTGTACATTTCATGTAGGCACATTTTCCTGTAGCTTTCATGGGTTGATCTTGGCTCCACCCCTAAGGATTGCATACAGCACCTCTCCATCCTGTGCCCCACATAGCCCTCATGCGTGGTAAGCAGAGTCCACATTCTATGCTGAGGTCAAAGTCCTTGGCGCCCCCCATAGCACAGCCAGAATGCATTGCTCAGACCTCAGTTCCAAAGACCAAATGAATGTCCCCTTTCCCAACCCTAGTCCCCTGAGCAGTCCCACCTCATCTGTCAGCTCCTACTCACCAATGTCCCTCTTTAGGTGAGGGGCTCAGAACAGACCCAGGGCTCTGGGTGAGGCCCCCTCGTGCTGAGCCATTCTCTTCCTCAAGGGATCGGAACGTCTTGGTTCTGCTCCCACAACCAGGGAGTAAGGCAGCTTTGGAGCAGCTTCTCTTGCTACCTAAATTAGGTAAGAAGAGCATGATCCAGGCTGCTGGAAGCCGCAAGTCAGAAGACACAGCGTTCAGTCCTGGTGTCTCTGTGCAATGGTGTGGTCTTGGGCAGTCCTTTAACTTTCCTAAGCCTCAGTTTCCTCATCTGTAATATACAAAGATCAATAATAATACTTTTTATCCTTTCCTACCTCCCTAGCAGAGCTTGGAATGAAACAGGATGCCCAGGCTCTGACCCTCCCACAATCCTTAATATTTCCCTACAGATTAGCATATCCCACAAGGGACCCTAATGGCAGTTTTCTTGTAATTTTCCCCAAGAAGTGTGTGATTTCTTTTAGGGCAGCAACTCTGTTTTATTTACCTTCAGATTCCCCAGTGCCCAATAAGATTAACAGCAGAAAACTATTTAGATTTATTTTAGTAAATAAATCTAAAATTTAGTAAATAGATTTATTTACTAAAATAAATCTCAATAAAACTACTAGATACATCTAAATAAAACACTTAGTCTGGGCCGGGCGCAGTGACTCAAGCCTGTAATCCCAGCACTTTGGGAGGCCGAGGCGGGTGGATCACGAGGTCAAGAGATCGAGACCATCCTGGTCAACATGGTGAAACCCCGTCTCTACTAAAACTACAAAACATTAGCTGGGCATGGTGGCGCGTGCCTGTAATCCCAGCTACTCAGGAGGCTGAGGCAGGAGAATTGCCTGAACCCAGGAGGCGGAGGTTGCGGTGAGCCGAGATCGCGCCATTGCACTCCAGCCTGGGTAACAAGAGCGAGACTCCGTCTCAAAAAAAAACAAAAACAAAAAAAAAAAAACACTTAGTCTGGGCCAGGGTCAAGCCTGTGAGGTAGATCCCATTATTACCCTTATTTTATAGACGAGGAAGCTGAGGCACAGAGAAATCCCCAGTGCTGTACCTGGCACAAAACACATGTCCAGTATCTGGTTTTGTTGGATGGAAGGTGGATAGGTGAATTAATGAGGGGACTGGTAATCAGTGAGTGGATGGGTGGGTGGATGAAAGGATAGATGAATGGGCGCATGGGTGGACAAAGGAATTAGTAAATAGATAGGTGTATTAGTAAATAGGTGAGTGGGTGGGAGTAGGAAGGCCTGTGGAAGGATGAATGAGTGGATAGGCAGATGGATGGCTGGATGAGTGGATGGGTGAATTGATGAGTGAGTGGTTGGATGGATGGATGGATGGATGAATGGATGAATGGATGGTGGCAGGTGGATAGGCAGCAGATGTGTGGATGAGTGAGTGGACAGATGAAAGAGTAGATGAGTGGACCGGTGCATGGATAGTGATTATGTTCTTGTGTTATCAAGTCCTGAGAGTGGGGAGGTAACTTTGGGACCATTTAAAGGGTAGAGGCATTTAGAAATAGCAAAGGAAACCTCTTCACCCTAACAGTGAGAAGATCCTAGGAGCGGGAGTTCCCCTCCCATCCGACCCATCTACCCAGCCCAGATCCCTGGGCAGGCAGCCATCTCCCAGGCCTGCAGATCTCTCCTCCCCCGCCCCTGACACCGCCCCCAGGCAGCCCCCCAAGCCTGTGGATGAAAGGTTGGCAGAGGCAGCGGGTGGGCTGGCGGCTTGTTCCCTCATTGTCTGCCGGTAACCTTCCTCCCAGCTGCTTGTTCTGCGTAATGTTACACTTGTCTTCCTGCAACACTTGGATACCCGAGCCAATTTTGTCATGCAAATGAATTCAGCCCATTGTAAATCCCGAGGAGGGGGTGCGGGCCTCACCAAGACAGCGGGGGCGGGGCTGCACTGGGTTTCGAGGCTTTCCTGCTGCCCCCTTTCAGGGTGAGGAAGAAGGGGGTTACAGACCTTTGCTGTGGACCTCTGGCCCCTCCTCCCTAGAATCCAAGACCATTACAGCCAGAACAGGCCTTAAAGATGGATGCTCTCCAATTATTGGTTAAAAATCTGAGGCCCAGAGAGGACCAGTGTATTGCCTACAACCACACAGCCCATTAGCCAGGATTCAACCAAGTTTACTGACTCTCAGCCATAACTCTCTCTGTGAGGTTGAGCTAAGCCCGCCACCCTGAGCTGCAAGGGAACCCTGAGACCTTCCAGGGGCCAGGACCTCCCAGTAGCTAGCTGTGTTACAGGGGGCGAAGCTGACGTGGACTAGGAACAGGACTGGCCTAGAGAGCCAAGAGGGTCTAGGGAAGAGTCTGTGGGTCTCGGCAGGTGTAGGTCACATCTAGGGATGTTGGCAAGGCTGGACTAACAGGTAGTAGGGGTTGGGGACGAAGGTAGAGTGAAATGCCAGGTGTTCTGCCAAGGAGCACAGACTGGGCCCAATGCCAGAACATCATCGTCAGCAAAAGCAAGACAGACAGTGGTTGGGCACAGGGCAGATGATGAGTGACAGCCCACAGGGCTGCCTGCAGTAAGTACTGCCTGGGGAGGGCAAGGACTAGGTACCAGGACACACTGCCCCAACTGGAATGCTGGCAGCATGGGCGGTGGGGGGAGGGAGAACTGGCATTTGTTTCAGGGCTGCAGCATGCCAGGCACGTCACACCATTCCCAGATAATTCTCACAGTCATTCTACGAGACAGTTGCTGTCCCCACTTTATAGATTAGAAAACTGAGTCCAGGGAGGTTACATGCCTAGCCGCCAAAGTCACACAGCTTCAAGTGGAGATTTAACACTAAATCCATGAGATGCAGGCATTCCAGAGTCTGTGCTCTTTCTGCTTCACACTCTGCCACTCCTGCCAGACTCAGCTATCAGTTGTCAGCCCCTTATTGAGTTAGTGACAGCCTGGGTGGAGATCAGGGAGTTGAGGAGAGCAGTGGTCACTGGCAGAGCCCGATTTTCCAGGAGGTGAGCATTTTCAGCTATTTGGAACACTGGGACTCCCAGTGATGCACCAGATAAAGCCCTGTCTTCTTCCTCTGGCATTTGAGGTTCTTCCCAACATGGCTCCCGGTCCCCTATGGGCACACCCAATTCCTCACTCTTCCTACTCATCCCATGCCCTTCTTTGCCTCCAGGTCCTTGCACAGGTTGTTCCCTCTGCTTGGAGTGCCGTTCCCCACTGTGTCCACTATCTAATCTTCGAGCCTTGACTCAGCTGTACCCAGGACTCTCCATTCCTCACCCTGGACCAGGCTGGCTCCTCCCTACTCTGCACTCCTGTAGTTTTTTTTGTCATTGTTTTTGTTTTGAGACAGAGTCTCTTGCTCTGTCACCCAGGCTGGAGTGCAGTGGCGCAATCTCAGCTCACCTCAACCTCTACCTCCCTGGTTCAAGCAATTCCCCTGCCTCAGCCTCCTGAGTAGTTGGGACTACAGGCACCTGCCACCACACCTGGCTAACTTTTTTGGGTTTTTAGTAGAGACAGGGTTTCACCATGTTGGCCAGACTGGTCTCAAACCCCTGACGTCAGGCAGTCCGCCCACCTTGGCCCCCCAAAGTGCTGGGATTACAGGTGTGAGCCACCGCACCTGGTCTGTACTCCTGTAGTTTTCTCAGTCTTACTCACTGCACTGGTTGTTTGTAAGAACCTACATTGTGTTGGTTTTCTCCACTAGTCCTAGAGGGCCAGGGTGGCTCCCAATTGCTCATACCACAGACTCTGTGGTCAGTGACCCCCAGGCTGACCCTCTAGACTCCCCAGTGTCTGTCGGAGCCCCTCTTCCGGCCTGTAGCCCATCTCCCCTCAATCACTAAATCCCTGTGCTGTTGATGCTGCCCCTGTGGTTGGCCTGAGCCAAGCCAAATGCAGATCAATCAACTGCTAAAAGCACTGCCATTCCCAAGCCTGGCCCAGGTCATTCTGAGGAGGCTAGAGACCAGAGCAGCCTCAGATATGGGCTCCAGGCCCCTGGGGCTGCTTGCAGGACCTTGGGTCCCTTCTTCCCCTGATAGCTGCAAACATGCACCAGTGCTCTCCTGCCTGGCCAGCCTCCCAGGCTTAAGCAACCCAGCAGGCAGGATGCTGCCAAAGAAAGCACCCGAGATTTTCCCATGGCTGTGAGTGAGACCCAGTCCTTTGTCCAGTTCTGCCTGAGCCCGTGGTGTGCCCTCAGCGGGGTCCTTTCTTCTCTGGGCATAGTTCTCATCAGCCAACTGAGAGGAATGGACTCAGACGCCAGGGCCTCCCCCTTATAGCAGCATGTGACAAGGATAAAGCGTTCACTTACAGCTCAGACACCTTGCCCTGGAGGCCCCATCCTGGGTCAGATGAAGGAAGCAGATCTGAGCTTTCCAGAAGGTCCTTAGGGCCACCAGAGGAGCAATCATTGTAAAGATAATCCCAGGCTTCCCGAGCACTTACTGTGTCCAGGCATTGAGCTAACAAATCTTCTTCTATAAACTATGTCTTCAGTCCTTTCAAGCACCCTGTTAAGTGGGCTATGTTATTGTTCCCATTTCACAGATGGGAAAGGGACCAGAGAAAGGTCATCTTCCCAGGCTACACAAAGCCCAGTTCTGCTGACCCAGCCTTTAGTCTTTCACTGCACAGCTTGTTCCCACCTGGACTTACGCGTGGCGTGAGGACACTGTGAGCCTCTCTGCCCAGGTCTGCCTGCTCCTTTGCTGGGGAGGGCGGATCCACAGTAGATGGAGGGAGGAGAATGGCTGATGGGGGTTACACACAGTTCGCCCCTGACCAGAGTGCCCGCACATTCCCCAGCACCAGGCTCCTCATGGGCACTCCATGAAAATGTACTGGAGAAAGGAAGGGAGGGAGGGACCCACAGGCAGCTGGTGTTAAGAGTATACAACCCCACCACATCTCCACGTGGACAGTGGGCTGGGTTATGGGAGGCTCCCATCTCTCAGCCACTGCATGTGCGAGGCTTAGATCCAGATAAAGACCCCAGAATCACAGGAACATGCTCTGCCCTCCCCCTCAGCGGGAGGCCCTAGACACACCCCTTCCCTTCTCTAAACCTCAATTTCCCCCTCTGTCCAATGTCAGAATGGAACCAAAGAACTGCCTGCACTGCACCCCACCCCCT